ACTTGAGAGCGAGGCTTCCCTTCTGAGATGTTACTTTTATGGAATGTGAGTGAAATTCAGGAGAGCCAAGAAGGGATGTGAAGAAAATGGTTTGCCTTAGTTGGTTATCTAAGTTAACTAATCTAATATTCAAGCACTGTGATATTTCTGTACTAAAATCAAGTGTCCTATTACATTCTGAAGTAGGAACATTTAAAGGCATTCTAAATATATGTACACAATGTCAAAACCATTTACACGCTTCATAGTATTTATTCCAGGATTATTGGGGCCTTTGAATATTCATCAGCAGGATTTTTTTCTTTTTTCAGCAGTCTTATTCTGTTACCCAGGCTAGAGTGCCATGGCCTCAGTCTAGCTCACAGCAGCTTTGAACTCCTGAGCTCAAGGGATCCTTCTCCCCCGGCCTCCCAGAGTGCTAGGATTATAGGTGTCAGCCACCTCACCCCACCCAGCAGAATTCTGTCACCCTGAAACCTGGAGAACTGGCCTCGTATTTGAGGCTATCCCAGTTAAAGAATCTGACGGCATCTCATTTTGGAATCTGGAAGCATTTAATGAGGAACACTACATCCTTTTGGCGAATCTGCCATATTGCATTACAGTTACTTCAGAACAGGAATTCTAGTGTTCCCTCCGCCCCACCCGCTTCCCACATCATCTTGTGTAACCTTTAAACTGCTCTCTTGGCTTTTGGCACAAAGAAAGTTTCCTATGTTTTCCTTTCATTCAGTTCCTTGAATTATTCATTGTGCTCATTTCCTTACCACTCATTCGTTTCTTTAAAAACTGATCCTTTTTTTCATCTTTCTGCTTGTTAGTTAATTCCTGGTATAAAAATAGGTAAATAAGGAAGATGTCAAACGAGCGCCTGCATGTTTCATCTGGGGTTTAGCAGAGAGGGTCATGACCAGAGCTTTGGAAGTAACACAGGGACCATGTTTAAAGCTGCCGGCACCCAGCCTATCACCAGGATAGTGCTGCTTTCGGTGCAGATTTCCGCCTAGTAATTGCATTATTCTGTCTGCGTTCAGTTGCACAGACAGCTGTGATGTGATCAACCAAATCAACAACCTGCTTTCCGTGGTAATGGTTCACTCATGTGTCACCAGGCCTGTTGTCTCACCCCAATGCACTCAGAGCTCAAGTGTACCTGATAGCAGTACCCTTTATATGTGGGTAATGTGAATGTGAAAAATGGTATGAGGAGTAAACCAAGGGTACCACCCTAGGATCACTAGCTCTTAATGATGCTGAGTAGTGGGCAAAAAGAAGGAAGGAAAAATGAGAAGTCACGATCATCACAGAGCTCAGGAAGGAGGGAGGATCAGAGGGGCTATTCTTGGCAATTAGGACCTCTCTCGGGGTTCTCTCTACCTGGAGCCCTCTTGGGGACTTGATATTTGGACAGCTGACCTGCCACGCATGCTACAGCTGGCCCCACCACGAGATAGTCCCAGCTGTTAAAGAGGTTGGGGTCAGAATGGGAATTGTACAGGGAGACAGAGTGACAGTCATCGTCTTCTCCCTGTGATTCTTGTACCTGCCTGAGTCTTCCCCACTACACCTACACTTCCCCTGAAGGAAGGAACTGTTTCCTCAGATATTCCTAGCACTAGTCGTCTGGTCTTACCCTGGAAGAGACTGCAGAAATGCTGGGGATTGTTTACGAGAGAGGAAGCATGGCATTCTCTCACAAGGGCGGTGCCGGGTTGTGATAGGCCTTGAGTGGTGAAAAGACTTTCAAGAGGCAGAAGTGAACTTGTTGAACTACACTAGTTGCACTCAACTTCGGGCCCTCTAGGTGGGATTGGCATTCCAGCTACATGGATCTACCACAGACTTAAATAGCATCTAGAGCTGTAAAATGAAACATCTTATAAGGAAATCTTTTATTATATAGCCTGCTCTTTCAACAGATGGCAGTGACATGCTGTAAATTAGTATTGCTCTTCTGTCTAATTCTATTGCTTTTTACCGTATTTAATGATGCTTAGGCAAGTGTGCTGTTATTTAAGAGAATTGCTAATAATTGTGAACATATGTTTGCTATTTCGGTCAACCCGAAGGAGTAGGTTTTCAGGTGCTATTGATCTGTCATCATTTGATACAGGTGGATGGACAGCTTTATTTTTGACGGGTAGTTTAATAAGTACAAACCATACACATTCCTACCTCTTCAAGTCAGTGCCCCAAGTTGATGCTGAACCTCAGAGGGGTTAGAGGGTATAAATAAGGATGGGGAAAGAAAGGGAGGGAGGGAGAGGGGAAAAGAGAGAGAGAAAAACATATATAAGAAGGAAGGTTCTTGTGACTAAAAAAAAAAAAAAAAAAATCTGGTATTTAACTTGACTGCCGGTCAAGCCTGTTCAGTTTCTGTAGGTACCATGACTTCCCGCTCCCCTGGGTGCCCATCTGTATTTTGAGATGAAAAGAAAACATTGGGTGGTGGTCATATTCAAACTGTACTAGGTATCTTGCCATTTCTTTTGAATTAGTAAGAGAAATTATTCCTTCCCTCCCTTCCTCTCCCCTTTCCCTTCCCCTCACTTACCCGCTTCCCCTCTGACAAAGTCTGACTCTGTCACCCTGGACAGAATGCTACGGCATCATCATAGCTCACAGCAACCTCAAACTCTTGGGCTTAAGAGATCTTCTTGCCTTGGTTTTTCCATTTTTAGTAGAGACAGGGTCTCGCTCTTGCTCAGGCTGGTCTCCAACTCAAGCAATTCACCCACTACAACCTTCCAGAGTGCTAGGATTACAGGCCTGAGTCACACACCTAGCCGGCATTTTTCTGTTCAAAAATAAGAGTTTTTTTTAACTCATTAAAAATACAGGACATATATATAATGGTTTGAAAGACAAATACTGACACCGGAGATTGGGCACTTCTCAGTCAGTTTTATTTATTGTGTCTTTGTGCCAGCTTTTATTTTCCTCCTACAACGAATATAACTTCACATATCTTGGGGAATACGGTTCTGTAATAAACCATTACCTAAGGCAGATGAAATGTGGCAAGAATGAGGTTTTACCATGACGGGGTTGCTGTGTTGACCTTCTAGAGAATGAATAGTCTGGGAACGAAAGATGATTTATTTGGGTTTATTTCTGTGAGGTTGTGAGAGATGTTGAAAGCATCTGATTTTATAGAAGAATCCACTTAGAATTATTCGTTATGCCAGTATATTCTTTCTTTGAAAGATACGTCATTGAAATGCTTTGGCTCCCCCCGCCCCCAGATGGATAGATGTTTGCATTTTGGTTCTGGTGCTCGGCCTTCCTTCTGTTTCACGAGGATCCCTTGTTGAAGCTTAGCTGCGGCCGGCCCTGTGCTTCTCTTGCTGCTGCTGGAAGCAACAGTTAGCACATGATGCCCCTGGAAGGCTTGCACTTGAAAGAAGAGCGTGTAAAGTTCCAGAAGGTGAAGGAAATCGTAGCAGTCTGGTGGTAGAAGGATCTAGAGAGCTCAAAAGCCAGGTTTAATTAGGTAGTGGTGTAAAACCATTCTCCCTTTTACAAAGGCTCCTGAAGAGCAGTGCTAGTGAGAACAATCGGCATTTATTTGACTGGCTGCACAAACCCCAGCCAGCGCCAGCCCAGCGGAGCTCCCCGGCGCTGCGTTCGTTCTGCAGGCGGCAGGCATTTTGGTTTTTTTTTTTTTTTTTTTGAAACACCCCTAAATGTTCCAGCCTTTAAATAGCAGCCAGTCTTCTAAAATGATGCTGTGTGCTGCAAGAGAAATGAAAGCAGCTGCCTTGGAGGCAGGAAGCCGACTAGGGAGATGCTTAATTATCCTGGAAGTGAGTGCTTGTTACTATTGAGCGAAGTGCACAGCCAGCGCGGGTCGTCCTCGGTGTCAGAGCGTGATTTGTAGACAATGCCGCCCTGTCAGCGCAGTGCTGGTTCAGCAGCATCTTCCCAAACATGCATTTGGCAAGAATGTAAAGGCCACCTCTTGTGTAATTTGTGGGCTCTTGGAAAAGGAGCCTCTGCCTGTCTTTTCAGGATGTACGCCACCATGCAGGATTGTGTCCTCAGAATCTGTGCCTCCTGCCTCCAGCCTGACGTGCTCATGAGGAAGTTCGTTTTCGTGCCCGTCACCTGGAAGGACACTAACAGTTCTCTGTAGTCTGCCGGAGGACATGGAAAGGGCCACCCCGAGCAGCATTTCGTGTCTGCCGTCTTCATAAATTAGCGTCGCCGGGGTGGAGCAGGTTGCACTGCATAAGGAAATGCAGGCATTTTGTTCCGTAGGCAAATACTTGTAGCTTTAAAAAGAGTAGATGCAACTAGGGAGAGCTGGGCAGAGGTGGTGGTGAATGTCGGATTCGTTCGGAAAAACTCCTCATCTGGGTAAGTAATAAAGTAGAGGAGAATAACAGGGGAGTGCTGATGGCTAGACTGGCTCCGGGAAAACCCGTTTCGTTTTCTCTCTGCTGTGTTTGCTCTTGCCAACTACACGAGCCTTTGTAAAGAAACCAGAAACAAGAATTGATTTTGAAATAGAGAAGGGGTTAAAAAGTGAATGTTGTAGCATGTTCAGTAAAATCATTTCTCATTTTGTACTTTGGTCAGAAAACTGCGTGGCTCTAATTATCTGATTCAGCCTGTGACATCCCAAACTTCTGTGCATTGCGATGACTCCTGACGTCCTACCTCATTAGAGGTCATGGGAGCTCCTCCTGGAGCAGCAGGAGCCTTGAGATCCTATAAAGATGTATCCCCTCTCTCCCCAGGAGTTAACTGAAACAGTTCAATTACGATAAAGTCTTAATGGTCTTCTTTTTTTTAACATAAATGATAGATTTCATGAGATGGCTCTATTTTCTTCCTTTCCTTTTTGGTAACCTGCTTTACAAAAAAATACAGATTGTAGAACTGGGAATCACACTCTATTACTGAGTTTTATTTTCATGTGTCTGGTTTTGGCCATTGAATATTGTTTTTAGATGTATTTGTCAAATGCTAATTCAAATTGTCCTTCTTTCTTCTAGAGAAAGCATGGGATTATGGCAATCACAGAGTCTCAGTAATACAAGTTCCATTCAGCTTTTTGTGAAAGAAGGCCGTCTGTTAAAGTCTGCAAAGGGGCTGTGGTGGATTATAATGCTTTGAAGTTCTAGATTTCCAGTGGCTTGAAATAAAGCATCATTTTTACCTTTTAAATGAAAAAGCTTAAGATCTCATGCAACTGTTTTATTTTCTGGAAGCCATTCTCCAAGATGGAAGTGCACATTTAAAACAGATATGATGGTCCTTTCTACAGGGATTTAGATCGGCTTGCTTCACATCATGACCAGCTTGAAACGGTCACAAACAGAAAGGCCTGTTGCCACTGACAGGGCCTCGGTTGTTGGCACAGACGGCACCCCCAAAGTCCACACCGATGACTTCTACATGCGACGCTTCCGGTCCCAGAACGGCAGCTTAGGGTCCTCAGTCATGGCTCCGGTAGGACCCCCGCGAAGCGAAGGTTCTCACCACATCACCTCAACCCCTGGTGTCCCCAAAATGGGGGTGAGGGCAAGGATTGCAGATTGGCCCCCACGAAAGGAAAACATAAAAGAATCTAGCCGTTCAAGCCAGGAAATAGAAACCTCAAGTTGCCTTGAGAGCCTGTCCTCCAAAAGTAGTCCTGTGAGTCAGGGAAGTTCTGTTAGCCTCAATTCCAATGACTCAGCCATGCTGAAGAGCATACAGAACACGCTGAAAAGCAAGACGAGACCGTCGGAGAACATGGACTCGAGATTCCTCATGCCTGAAGCCTACCCCAGCTCCCCCAGGAAAGCTCTTCGCAGAATACGGCAACGGAGCAACAGCGATATCACCATAAGTGAACTTGACGTGGATAGCTTTGATGAATGTATCTCCCCCACATACAAGACTGGGCCGTCCCTGCACAGGGAGTACGGTAGCACATCCTCGATTGACAAACAGGGGACATCCGGAGAAAGCTTCTTTGATTTGTTAAAGGGCTACAAAGATGACAAATCTGAGCGAGGTCTGACCCCCACCAAGCTCAGTGACTTCCTCATCGCCGGTGGGGGCAAGGGTTCAGGTTTCTCTCTGGATGTTATAGATGGTCCTATCTCACAGAGAGAGAACCTCAGGCTCTTTAAGGAAAGGGAAAAACCACTCAAGCGGCGTTCCAAGTCTGAAACTGGCGACTCCTCCATTTTTCGGAAATTGCGCAATGCCAAAGGTGAAGAACTTGGCAAGTCATCAGATCTTGAAGATAACCGATCGGAAGACTCTGTCAGGCCCTGGACGTGTCCAAAGTGCTTTGCCCACTACGATGTCCAGAGTATATTGTTTGATTTGAACGAGGCAATTCTGAACAGGCACAACGTTATTAAGAGGAGAAACACCACCACTGGGGCCTCGGCAGCTGCCGTGGCATCCTTGGTCTCTGGACCTCTGTCTCATTCAGCCAGTTTTAGCTCCCCAATGGGCAGCACGGAGGACCTCAATTCCAAAGGAAGCCTCAGCATGGACCAGGGAGATGACAAAAGCAATGAACTGGTAATGAGCTGTCCGTATTTTCGGAATGAGATCGGGGGAGAAGGGGAAAGGAAAATCAGCCTTTCGAAATCCAATTCAGGCTCCTTTAGTGGATGTGAAAGTGCCTCCTTTGAGTCGACCCTTAGCTCCCATTGCACAAACGCAGGAGTGGCAGTACTTGAAGTGCCCAAGGAGAACTTGGTGTTGCATCTGGACAGAGTGAAGAGATACATCGTGGAACACGTGGACCTCGGCGCCTACTATTACAGGAAGTTTTTCTACCAGAAGGGTGAGTAGAGATCCTTTATTTATTTTTTAATTCCTTTTTATTCGGATATGTCTCTGTGAAGTAATTATGCATACATTACTTCTCCATGCTCAGCTGTTGTTTTACTGGTACTAGAGAGTGATCTTTAAAATGTGAAGACCACTGTGATTGTGCCTTTATCTTTTTTTTAAATTTCAAAATATTAAGGGGGTTCATGAACATGATTGTTTATGTAAGGCTGTCTCGGGACTGTACTACCATCCACCCAACTGGTATTCATTGTACCCATTAGGTACCCTCCCACTTTCAGTTTTCTCTTGCTGTACTTTCTGGAAAGGTAAAGTTATATAGCACTGTGACATACGATTAGCATAAATTCCTTATCTTTCTTGATGGTAAAATAGTTAAGTAAATTGCTGCAATTTACTTCTTTTTGTGTTTTTGTTGTTGTTGTTAATTTCCCCTTTGAGGTATACAGATATCTCGGTATACTAAATAGTACTTTTTAAAATAATAAACTCCTTTGATTTTTTTGTGGATGAAATTACAGTCTTTGTGTATAGGACTTGCTGTGTCACCTTTAAGGGATGCAGTTGAACATACTTTAAATCTAGTACTTTTTTAAGGATTATAAAAACAGTTTTAATGCTAACTTTGATTTTTTTAACACTTTTTGTGACCATTTCTTTGCCATGTCATTGTTCTCATCAGGAGATGGGAATTATATTCCTGTCTATTTCACAGGAACTTTTCTGAAAATAAATTATTATTTGACGGAAGTCACAGAACCAGTGAGTCTCAGTGCCAAGAATCAAATCTAGGTCTTTGACTTGAATAGAGAAGGCAGTGAAGACAGAATTACCCTCAGCATACCTGTTGGCCACGTCCTCTGTAACCTTTTCTGATACACCTGCACACATGTAGTTGAGATCACACTTTGAGCACGGTTTTCTTATTCATGCTGTTACAGAAGACACTTTGGTTTATTCAAAAGTAAGTAGTGTCAGTGAACTCCTAGGAACTTTCTAATAACATTTTCAAGTATTATTAATTAAAGGATAAGTTTAAGTCATCCAGGTACCCACGCTGGGAAACAGGGTTATCACCAATGAAGGATGCACCTGTGGTCCATTAGCTACGTGTGTGTGGTCTTTGCAGCCAGGTAAAGGGGCCTGTGGTGAGAGGCTCCCGCAGTGTTTTGATTTCCACTGTTTTAGGAGTTTGAATGTCGTTTATGTTTATTCTTCTGAAAGATACTTGGTTCCATATCTAGTGCTCCTTATAGCTTCATAACATTGTTCACTTCAGAATAAAATTTATCTGCAGGTTATTACATAATGGACCCCATTTAAGAAGGCTTCGTGACTGAAAGAATTTTATTATTAAATATTCATGTCTCATTCCTGGATACCTATGGCTTAAGTTGCCGGAATCAGTATGATAATGAAAATGCCAATTTTCATTTATCTCAGAATAATTTTTAGAGTTTAGAACTGACATCTCTGTTACACGGTCCTACAGGAGGATTTCTTTTCCTCGCCGCCAGCTGGGAATTTGGGGTGAGATAATTCCCTGTTGGGTGAGGTGGGGGGCACTCCTGTGTACTGCAGCACGTTCAGCGGCACCCCGGCTGCCAGCAGGCTCCCCGTTCTCCCAGTTATGACTGCCTAAAATGTCTGCAGGGATTGTTGGATATCCCTTAGGAGGTGAAATTGCCTTGAGGAAATTTTCTACAGGTGTTTCTGAGTTGTCTGTAAGTCGAGGTCATCTTGTTTCCATCTTAGCGAACACTGACATAAATTGAATGTATGACTTCTAATCTATTTATGTAATAATGGGCCCTTTTTTCCTATTAGGCAACATAACAATATTCATAGTGAACGTTTTTGGGGTTCTTATTCTGTTCCAGGCACTGTGCTAAGCATTTGTTATGACACATTTTCTCCTTTCAACCTCCTGATGTCCATCCCGGCAGGTGCTTTTGTTAATCCCATTTTCCAGATGAGAAAATAGGACTTAAATGCTTGTATGACATGCTGTCCGGGAGCTGGTAAATGTTGGAGCCAGACTGTCTGAGCAGTCATGTTCTTAATCACTGCTCTCTGATCTCTGGTCTGTTAGACCAAAGGGAAGGGGATTGCTATTTAAAGTATTTTATCTTTAAAAGGTATGGAATAAAAATTTGAACACCTAGATTCCAGAGTAATCCTGCTTATTCATAATACCTCATAAGTTTAAAAGCCACTAATCCAGTAGTTACTAATTTGAAACATGGAAAATACCATCTTATCCCAACATAATTGGAATTGGTTAATTGAAAATATCAGTAACAGCAGGAAATTGTTAATGAAATGTGCAAATCTGAAATATTTTGTCATAAAAATACATAAAATTGTATTTGCCAAATACTTGTGAGGCCAGGGGCTTTTCTTTGATAGTGATTCAACTTTTTTGAATTCTACATTGCATTAATAGTATAAACCACAAGAACAAAAACACACTAGCAAAGCAATCGTGGGTCCAGGAGCTTGGGTCTCAGAATTTTTTTCTTTTTGGGTAGCTGTCTTACCCTCATCTAATCCAACAGTTTTCTTTTTAATGACTTGCCTTTACTCTTTCCAAATCCTTCCATTTATTTTTTATAGAAATAGCATTTATCTTTTGTTCTTATATTCTGTCAGTTCACGTAATAATTAAATTTCATAATTAAAACAAGCCAATGGGCTTAAACAGATTTGGGAAGACGCAGAGAACTGCTTGTGAGCATGAAGTCCGGCTGTGGGGGGCAGAGAATGTGAATGGCACTAGGGGTTGACTGCTAGCTTAGTGCCATGGGGCAGTCTTCAGCATGGTTTTCAGAGGGAATGGTGAGCAGTGCTTAACCCAGGAAGCTGTGCAATGGAGGCCAGGTACAGAGAACACCTGTTATAAAGCTTTCCTGGGCCACACAACTTAGAATTTTTAAGTCTAGCAGATCATTTGATACAATATGATGGCTCTGGAAAACGTTATTTAAAGGAGACATTAAGACCCTTAAGGTATAAACTATACATGAAATAATTTGTTATCTATACTTTTTATTATAGTATACATATAAAACATAGTTAAATAAAATCTGTCTTAAATTTTAATAGATAGCATTGATTCACTGAGATTAGTACACTAACTCGTTTTTTCTGAAAGCACAGTCTCTTGACACTGAAGGTGCAGAGGTAATTGATCCTGCAGTACTAAGGCTGCTGCCCTTGCTGTCACCTCAACCTCTGTATCCTCGGATCATTTCGGTTCTGTCGTCTAATGCACTCCTGACTTGACTGGGGCTAAGTCTCTGGGGGAAAGAAACATCTCTTACTGATGTTCACTCTACAGTTGGCATTACTTGCAAAAATTTAATCATATTTGGCTAAGGAAGCTGCAATCATTTTTAATATTACATTTTTTTACCAAAAAAAATCATTTTGCAAATTTAGACCTTAGAGGATATTTGACGCCAACACACAAGCCAAATTTATTGCTGGACAGATGCTGGACCAATAGAGGAATCCCATTTGCACTTACTAAAATAAGCAGCTTGCCTTCAAAGCTCTCCCTCCTGCCTACGTCCCTGTGCCATTTTCCTGGAGGGAGGAGTGTGTGGTTGTATTGAGACTCCCCCAGGATTAAATAACTGTACTAACACAGTGAGTGTTAATTGTGTTACTACTTTGTGCTTTGTGTAGACTTTCTCACTTGATGCTCACAGGGCCCCAACATGAACCTGTCATTGTAGGAGGAAGTCCCAGTGATGCTACCACATTCTCCTTAGGGAAGCAAGCTGTAGGGTCGCATTGTAATTAACCTACTCATCTTTCTTTAAGAGTGCACATATTTTGGTTTAGTTTTTGTTTAGAGAGTCAGCATGATCAAGTACTGAGGGAATCCGTAAGTAGAAAATCCCAAGCTGTGGGAGCAATGACACCATTACCTGTAGCTGGTGGGGCTTATACAGGAGGGGATTCTGTCGTAGCCATTATTCACCTTACTTTCTTTGGCCCCATAGGACTTTGCGTTTTTGCACCTGGTGTCCAGTTGTCTGTGGGGCATGTTCTCCTTGAGTCCCACACAGAGGAACACACTGATTGATGGCAGACAGGGGCCCACAGCTTGCCTGGACAGTGGCATTTGTTGCTGTGTTGACAGGCATGCTGCGGGGGGGGGGGTAGGGTTGTCACTCTCAAAGTCAAGCTGTTAAAGATTCGAGATGGGGGCTCGGCGCCTATAGCTCAACTGGCTAAGGCGCCAGCCACGTACACCTAAGGTGGTGGGTTCGAATCCCCAGCCCGGACCCGCCAAACAACAATGACGGCAGCAACCAAAAAATAGCCGGGCGTTGTGGCGGGCGCCTGTGGTCCCAGCTACTTGGGAGGCGGAGGCAGGAGACTCACTTGAGCCCAGGAGTTGGAGGTTGCTGTGAGCTGTAATGCCACAGCACTCTACCCAGGGGGACAGCTTGAGGCTCTGTCTCAAAAAAAAAAAAAAAAAGAATTATGTTCAAGTTCCCATGTATTAAATGACCATCATTAAATAGCTATTATAAATTTTTGTAGATTATTTTACATATTTTGTAGATTATTTGACATATAAAACATCAGGGTACACCATTAACTAAGTGTATTTCTAAAGATCTGTGCTTATTTTGTTGATTCAGGTTTTTTCTTAAAAAAAAAAAATCCTACATATGTAGCAACATTAGGCTTGAGAAACATTCCAGGGAATACCTTACAAGTCATAGTTAAGAGTAATTATTCTTTATTTAGTTTTTTGATGTGGACAGCTTATTATTTTACATAAGTGAAGAACTTTAGAGTCGATTGGTCGGTTGTTCGGAACCATGTTATTATGTTCTATGCTGTTGAACTTAATAGTTAATTTCTGCCAAAATGGTGCTAGATTTTTTTTTTTTTTTTGGAGACAGAATCTCAATATGTTGCCATTGGTAGAATGCCATGGCATCACAGCTCATAGCAACCTCAAACTCTTGG